GGCAGGAAGGACCACCTTTGCTGGGGGTGAGCCCTGTCACCAGGCATCCAGTAGAAGGCTGGACAGGCACTGGTGGGACAGAGATGACTCTCAGGGTAGCCCTGGGGTGTCTGGGATGGTGGGGGAGACAGAGGGGCAAAGGCAAAAAGCAGGAGTCTGGGGTTTGCTGATCAAGCAGTATGGACTGCTGGTGAGGCATCAACACATTTAAACATCCCAGCATGCTTTGAGCACTTACTGTGCACCCAGCTCTATGTTTGGTACTCTGCCCTCAGAGGGTGAGGGCAAGATGAAGGTGTGCCATTGAGATGCTCAGGGCCTGGTGGGGACAATCACCCTAGGCCTGCCTCCTTCCACTGAGGGCTGGGCACAGTCATCATCAGGGGGAGCAGGGGAGGGGGCCTCCAGTCACCGGGTTTCCCATATACACGCCAGGCCCCAGGTGACCCCACCCTGTTGTCTAGGCAGCCTGGCCCTGAGACAGCCTTGTGCTGGGGCCCTGGAGTGGGACGTTCCACTGGGTGAGGGGGGACATGGGTGCCAGGCCATGTGCTGGACGGCTTCCCCTGGCTCCTACCACCAGGCACAAAGAGGGCTGGAGATTGAGGCTAAGAGGCAGCCTGCATGAATGTGGGAGGGACTGGCCAGGCCCTTGATGCCCTGCCCTGGAGCCCTGGCCACCCCAGGACCTCCAGCTGCCAGTGAGTTCTCTGCCCCACCCCTGCCCATCCAGCACTTCTCCTGTGGTCTGACAGCAGACTTCTGTTTAGTGCGTTTTTTCCCAGTTCCTAAGGAAGGCTGGTAGACAGAATGAGACCACAGCCTGCCAGGCAACACCCCGTAACACTGCCCATCACATGCATATGTACTAGGTCAGTAGCTGTAGACTGGTCTGGATTCTCTTGGAGGTTTCCTAGGCCCAGCCTGAGCTGTGCTACAACCTGGGGCTCAGGTGGCAAAGCTGGACCTGAGCCAGGCCCAGCATGGCCAAGGAGGGTCAGCTCTGGCCTGCCCGCTCCTGGCAGGAGGGCTCTCCATGGCTTCCTGGCCAAAACTCCTGTGGGTAGTTTCTCGGTAAACCACCCACTCGCAGGGGAAGGGGAGTTTACTGAGAAACTTGCCATGGAGCCATGCTCTCACTACCTTGGACCAGAGCCCCAACTCTGGGCAGAGCAGAGACTCTGGGACTATCTTCCAAGAGCTGGCACCATGGACCCCTGGCTCAGCTCCTTAGGCTTCCATGCCTATTCTGCTAGCCAGGCGTTTGGTCCATCCCAAGGGTCAAAGAGCCAGAGCCAAGGCTGGATGGCAAGGCCTCCTCTGAAGCAGGAACTTAGACTCAAAAGCCCTCCATACTCCAGGCATTTGTACCCTAAGGTGGTGAATGGTGGAATGCTTTCTGGCAGGATCCAATGTTCCTGAAGGAGTAGGTCCTGAGGCTCAGTCTCCATGCCCTCAGCTGTCACGAGGCCTGGTCAGGGCTGATGCTGTCTGGCTGGCTGGTGCTATTCTAGGAACCTGTTAGGATAAAAACACTCCAGGGGTTTCCAGGAAACTTCCTACTTTAACAGGCCCTTGGCTCCTTCTCCCTGGAACTTTAGGACAGAGCAGAACTTTTGTATCTGTGACCAATGAGGTGAGTAGGACTGGTGTTCTCATCTCCATTTTACAAGGAGAGAAAATGCAGCTCCAGAGAAGGGATGAGACTGGCCCAGGACCCTCTAGTAAAAGGTCAGTGAAAAGGTCAACAAGCCTAGAGCTGGGCTTCCCAACCTACCTCACATCATGGCATACTTTCAAAATTATCACTGGAGTAAATGAAGAAGGATGCTGGAGGCTAAAGCACCCATGGGAAGTCCCAGGCATTGTGAACAAGGAAGAGAGTAGAAGGTGCTGGGGTTACAGAGGCAGCAGGGGCCAGATCATGTAGAGCTTTATTTATTTGAGACAGCATCTCGCTCTGTCACCCAGGCTGGAGTGTAGTGGCACAATCACGGCTCACTGCAGCCTCGATCTCCAGGGCTCAAACGATCCTCCTGCTTCAGCCTTCTGAGTAGCGGGGCTACAGGCATGTACCACCATGCCCAGGTTAGTTATTTTTATTTTATTTTCAGTAGAGACAGGGTCTTGCTATGTTGCTCAGGCTGGTCTTGAACTCCTGACCTAAAGCAATCCTCCTGCCTCAGCCTCCCAAAGTGCTGGAATTACAGGCATGAAGCCACGGTGCCCAGCCCACAGAGAACTTTGTAGGCTCCAGGTCAGGAGATACTGTGGGAAGCCACTGGAAGCTTCAGGCAGAATTGACACGATCTCATTCCTGTTGCTGCTGGATTGAGGACTGGCGGAGGGACAGGAGAGAAGGAGGGGTCTAGGGAGGGGGCTGCCGCAGTCATCCAGGTGCAAAGTGATGGTGGCTTAGACTGGGTGGGGGACAAGGAAGAAGGAAGAAGTGCTGGGATTCTAGATACATTTAGAAGGTAGAGCATTATGATTTGCTGACAAATTGGATATGGAGTATCAGAGAAGAAGAAGTCAAGGATGACTCCAAGGTCTTTAGTCTGAGCAGCTGAAAGGATGGAGTTGCCATTAACTGAGGAAGACAGGGAGGAGCGTTTGGGGCAGGAAGTCAGAGGTTCTGATCTGGATATGTTGAGTTTAGGGGGCATTTCAGACCACCAAGTAGAGTTGAGTAAGCATTTGGAAAGTAGAGTTCCCAGAAGTGGGGCTGGAGAAGAAATGTGGAGTCATCACATGAAGATGTTTAAAGCTGTAAACCCAGATGAGAGGAAGATGGGAGCCAGAAACAAGGTCAGGAAGGAGTGGTCCATGAAGCTGGAGGAATATCAGGCAGTGTGGCATTCTGCAAGCCAAGTGAAGAAACTCTTTCAAGGAAGTGGGAGAAACCATTGTGTCTGATGCTGCAGAGAGGTCGCGTAAAATGAAGACTAAGAACTGACCATTGAGTTCAGGATTGTGGAAGTCACTGGGACTTTGACAAGAGTCATCTGGTAGAGGGATGGGGCAAGAGACTGGCTGGGTTGAAGGCAGAATGAGGGCTGAGAACTAGGGGCAGTGAATGGGGACAGGTCTGCTGAGGTTTCTGTAAAAGGGAGGAGGTGGTAGCTGGGGGAGGATTTAGAGATGGGAGAAATGGCAGCCTGTTTGTACCCTGATGGGAAAGATAGGGTTTACAAAATGCATGACACAGTCCCTGGCATGTGGCAGGTACCAGATGCCTGAAGGAGTTCACATGTGTTCACACACCCTGCAGCTGCCCCAGCCTCTCCTCTTCCTTGCTAGCCATCTGTAGGGACATCCGCCCCTGTCTGCCTGAGGAAAGGAGGAAGCCTGGGAAGCCCTGTTATGTAAGGCTCCTCCTGGTGGGCAGATGGATGAGCAGGGCCCTGACAGGTGGCAGTGTCAGCACCTTCCCCAAGACCTGAAGGGAAGGGTGAAGCCTGTAGCCCGGAGGCAGGAATGTGAGGAAAGATGCCAGCAACAGGGCTGTTGCTGGCAGGTGTGGGAGCCTGTGCCCAGCTGGGAGCTTCATTCCTTGGCTACAGTGGGGCTCATACCCAGCCTTCCATCTAGGCTTGCCCTGGGCTTCTAATAACCAAGTGCCAAGGGACTGTGCCAGGCCCCCTCACCATGAGCCACCCTTCTCCAGGCCTGGTAATAAAGGGGCCATGAACCGTATTCACTACTAGGAGAGATGCCTGAAGCTCTTAAGGAGTCTGGCTAAATTCACCCAGTCAGGAATTGCACCCACAGAGTGGGGAGGAAACCAGGCCACAGCCCCTTATTACTGACTTGCCCCAAAGACGTCTCGTTTCCTCTGTGCCAGGGGTCAGTGATCACTCATCCATGCTCCTAGCCAACAGCAGCCCTGCAGATGGGCTTTTCAAAGTGGGAAGTTGAGCCTTGGTTGCAGATGTCTCCAGGGCCCTGACCCGTGCAGATGTACACTGAGAATACTGTAGAGCTGGGCCTTGGCCCTGGCAGCGACTCCCTGCAGCCAGGTCTCCCTGGGGAGCCCCTCCTTCCAGTCTGCTGACTGAGTCATCTCTTGATAGAGCAATGCAACTAGCGTTAAGAGTCTTGGCCAGGCGCAGTGGCTCACGCCTGTAATCCCAGCACTTTGGGAGACCGAGGCGGGTGGATCACTTGAGGTCAGGAGTTTGAGACCAGCCTGGCCAATGTGGCGAAACCCCATCTCTACTAAAAATACAAAAATTAGCTGGGCATGGTGGTGGGTGCCTGTAATCCCAGCTATTTGGGAGGCTGAGGCAGGAGAATCGCTTAAACCGCCAAGAGGCGGAGGTTGCAGTGAGCTGAGATCGTGCCACTGTACTCCAGCCTGGGCCACAGAGCGAGACTCTGTCTCAAAAAAAAAAAAAAAAAGAGAAAAGAAAAGAGTCCTGCGGTGCTGAGGAAGCAGGAAGTATGGGGGCTGGGCAAGGTTGGCCCTGGAGGAAGCCAGGCCCCATCTCCCCTGAGTTAGGGGATTGAAGAGGGCCCTTCCCTGTGTCAGAAAATCCTGTTAGGCCTGAGCTAAGACAAATGGTCAGACTCAGAATCCCCAGACTGGGGGCTAGAGGAGGAGGAAAAGAAAGCTCCAGGCTGTGCTGGGGTAGGCCTGGGTCCTCAGGCCATGCCCTGCTTTAGAGGGCTGGAGGCTGTAAGCAAACCCCAGACAAGCCAAACCTGAGATGAGGAGGCCAATAAGGGTTTTCTGGACAGAGGAGATGCACCTCCAGGAACTGAGTGCCCAGAAAGACCAAGAGGCTTTCTAGGGGGTGGGACTGCTTGGGCAAAGTCTTAGGGGCTAGTGGGCAGGGGCACTGGACATGGTGACTTGAGTGGTATCCCCTTCCCTGAGGCTTGTGGTTTTGGCCACCACTACTTTTCTTTGACAGCTGGGCTTTCTGCACACCCTCACCCCAGTGCCTTCCCTCCCTCAGGACTCTCCACACTCACCCACTCTCCTTCTCATTTTTCAGCACAAGGCCAATCAGCCCCCCCATGGTGTCCCCCAACTCTCTCTCTACGACCATTTCAACAGCCCACACCCCACCCCTGCACCTGCGGACATCAGCCAGAAGCAAGGTACAAGCCTGGGATGGGGAGGGGCCCAGTGAAACCAGAGCCTAAGGGCCAAGACCCCGGCTTCTGAGATCAGGTAGCTGGGTCCATTTTATAACTGGAGAACCTGGGGCTGTGCAAACTAAGGGCCCAAAGAAAATTCCAGAAAGGTGGACTGGGGGTATGAGGGCACCAGCAGACTGGAAAAGGGGGTGCTAGGTCAAACTGTGAAGGCTTCAGGTTGAGCTACAAGCCTAAATCTCATGGGTGACCTCGCTGCCAGTATTGCAGCATTGCTGAGAACTGTAAAACTGTAGCCTTTCCTCCCCTCAGTGAGAAAATGGAAAGTGGTGGTTGTGACGGCTGATTCACCTCAGCCTCAGGCAAAGTCATTCTGAAATCCCTCATTGTCAGCTGTGGGAAACCTGCTGACTCAACCCTGGGGGGCAGGTGGAGCCTTGGCTCCCCAGGCTGGGTTCCCCTAGACCAGGGGCCTGCCTCCTGCCCAGAAAGCCAGGCTGGAGTCCCCCAAGCAGAGATGCCCCAATGCCTCCATGCCTGAGTGACTTCAGCTCTGCCTACTGGCCCCCTAACGTCTTAGGCAAGTCATCCCAGCCCTCTGCCCTGGGCTCCCTTGTCTGTCAAAGGGGCACTGTTATCACACTGGGATCCTCCTGAATAAACCAGTTTATGTCCGGTCCTCTAGCAAAGCTGGTGGGATCTTAAGGCCCCTGTAGGAGGCTCTAGGTTGCAGTAACTGCTGATGTGGCCTGCCGGGTCAGGCTAGCCCACTCACTCAGCCTCTCTCCTCTGCAGTTCACAGGCCTCTGCAGACCCCTGACCTCTCTGGCTTCTACTCCCTGACCTCAGGCAGCATGGGGCAGCTCCCCCACACTGTGAGCTGGTGAGTGGGGGTCCAACGGGAAAGGGGCACCGTGTGCTGGTCAGACCAAGACCTGCCTGCCCTTCCATTTCCTCCTCCATCCCTCTTGGCTGGCCACCCTGCTGCCAGCTCTGTTTAGATGCCAGAGGCTGGCCAGCAACTCTGTCCTAACCTGGCTCCGAGCTAGGGGTCTTCATGTACCCCTGGCCTGCATTCCCCAGGTAGCCTGACATACTCCCTTTGGGGAGGCAGGAGAACTGCTCCTTGGTCCCAGCCCTGTCTCCCTCAGTGTCCAAGAGGTCCCCTTGGATGGGAGAACTCTGGGCTGCTAAGGGACCTCCAGGGCCATATGCATATGTGAAGAAGAAAGGTGGGCCCGAGCAGGGCGGGGACAGCATGAGTGGCCACCAGAGAGGCTTCTGCTTCTCAGCTCACTGTCCTCAGTGCCTACTGCTTCTGGTCCTTTCCTTGGCTGGGCTGGTTGAGGGGCAGTGTCCCTCCCTGTGGTGCCTGCTTGAGCCCAAGCCTCTGACCAGCCTGCTTGGAGAGTCTTAAGGCTGGGCCAGGAAAAGAAAGCCTGGCCTCCTCAGCCAGTAGGCCTGACTATGGGCCAAAGGGCCTATCCTCAGCTGGAGCTGGGCCTTGGCAGGCTACTTCGCCCTTTACTCATCAACGATAGTGTGAGCTGTGCAGGTCTATAGCCTATTTCAGAGAGCTGGACTGCGGCAGTCACCCAACAGCAGGAAAACTTGACTTCCCAGGGAGATCATGCATGCCAGAGGCCCAACCTGCGGCCCACTTGCCCTTTACCCATGGTCAGCACCCTCCTCTGTTCCAGATTTTCCTTGGACAGTCCATTCTGAATACAAATCAAGACTACTCCCATGAATACCCCTAGGATCAAGGTGTAGCCAGATGCTCAAGAGCCCAGCCTTACTGGACTAGACCAGAGTTCCGTGGATGCAAATCTTTAGGCCAGCCTTTCCAAAACATCCCCTAGGCCAGCAGTGCTAAAGTTTAAGAGACTTGAGTAGATTTTACCTACCAAGGCTGTAAGGAGGCGACTTTAGGCAGCCCTGTGCTCTCGCTTCCACCCGGTAGCACTTGGCTGTGAGGAAAGAAGTGGGGGTATTTTCGCCATCTTTCCACTGAGCCCTACTGTGTGCCAGGCAGGGTTCTGGGCACCAGGGTAGTCGGCACTGCTGAAGCTGACTGATCCTTAGGTCCCTGCCCTCTCAGAACTCAGTCTACCTAGTGGGCAACCCAGGCAAAAAACCAGACAGTTATAGGGCACTCTTGGTAGTGCTCTGGTTAGGGACTGTAGGAGCCCAGAGGGGTACCTCATCCAGCTTGGAATCTCAGGGATTTCAGGAGAAAGGGTCACTTAGCCATGGAAGACCTGAAGGATGACCAGGAGTTGAAGCAGGCAAAGTGGTGCAAAACAATCCAGTGTTAACAGTGGCTGCAATGGCCCCAGGACAGGTATCAGCCCTATACTGTCAAAGAAACAGAAGCAGGCTGGAGGGGCCCAGGGGCCTGCTAAGCTGGGCCCCAGAAGAAGGATACCGTTTCCATTCCTCAAGCACCCATACAAGTTCACAGAGGGAAACAGGTGCAGCACAAGCTGCCCTCTGGTGGCAGATGCTTGAAATTCCAGCAGAGGCCCATCTGTCTCACAGGATGGGTCAAGGCCTGCCTAGCAAGGTAGGGAAGTCCTTCCCTGTGTCTGGCCAGCAGCCAGACTGCTAACAGCTGTCTCTCCCAACCACAGGCCCAGCCCTCCTCTCTACCCCTTGTCCCCTTCCTGCGGATATAGACAGCACTTCCCTGCCCCCACTGCAGCCCCTGGCGCCCCCTACCCCAGGTGAGTCCCCTACACTGCAGCCAGGCTCCTGCTTCCTGTTGCCCAGGCTTCAGTGCCCACACAAGGCCATGCCCGGGCCAGTGCTTGCCCTGTGTTAGTCGTTTGTCCATCTGTCCGTCTGTCATTTTGCAGCCCCCTGCTGTCCTGTGCCTGAGAATGAAGCTAGTGCAAGTGCCAAGAGGCCTCAGCCCGGGCCACACCATGCAGCAGAGCCCCAGAGGCCAGGACAGTACATGCATACGTGGCTCACCCCTTGTGCAGATGTGTGTGCACTCACCTCTGTTCATCCCTACTTAGGACTCTCCTGGGAATCCCCTGAGCTCTGCCCCAAGCTGAGACAGCACCTTTTACATAAGTCCCCAACCTCTGACCCTTAGGGGCTGCTGGCTCAGGGATAACACCTGTGCAAGCAGTAAGGGGCAGAATAGTCTCCACAGAACAGCAAGAAAGTGAAGTGGGAGGTGTGTGTACATGGATCCCTTCACTTAGGTTGCTCCCTCAGTGACAGACTCAGTGCCAGATATGCAATGGCAGGGGATTCCACAGACATTTCTAGCCCACTGGAGCTCACAGCCCAGTATAGCAAGTGTAGACATGGCACCAGCAGCTTAATGGGCCAGCTGAGTGATGGGGAAGCAGGCCTGATGGGTCAGGGAGAGCTTCATGGAAAGAGTAATACATCTTTTGCAAGAGGAAGACAAGGGAACAGCCATTATTGGGGCTGACCGGGAGTGGAGAGGGACAGGAAGCAGAGGGGAAGAGAAGGGGCTAGAAACAGCAGCAGGATGCTCATGCAGGGCTGTGCAGGCCCTTGGGAGCAGCCTGGGTTCTATTGTGTGGATGCTGGGGGAATTTCAGCAGGAGCAGGTCAGGAACATTCAGGTGTTTTTAATGGTCACTCTGGCTATTGGGTGGAGAGAGGCCTGGAAGGGTCAAGCAGGAGAGGGATGAGGCCTCACAGGGCAGCCACAGGCTCCTGAGGCTGGGTTGGTGGGGGAAGGACGTGAGAAGGGGACAGATTCAAAAGCTACTTGGGACCTATGTAGTAACCACCTGAATGGCAATCTATGTAGATTTTTACAGTGTGTCTGTGTAGTGTGCTGGGAGCAGGTATTTGTATTTATCTCTGTGTACTTATGTCTAGGCCAGTAGGGGTAGAGTATCTGTTCACCTGTGTCCTCCAGTCATGTACTATGCAGGGGCCTCCGTGTGTGTCCAAAGGTCTGGCCCATAATTCTTGGCTCAGTGTTAACTTTCTTCCTGCCTCCAGGTTCACCCACCCGTCCTTGATGCTAGGTTCTAGTGTACCTGGTCACCCAGCAGCCATCCCCCACCCGGCCATTGTGCCCCCCTCAGGGAAGCAGGAGCTTCAGTCCTTCGACCGCAACCTGTGAGTGAAAAGACAATGATGGCAGGGGGTGTCGTCAGTCAGGATACACATGCCTCCCCATCAGGCCTGAGGACTGCCGCCAGCTCACTGGCCAAGCTGTTTGTGCCTCTGGCTACATGTTTTTGATCCTCAGAAGTAGGAGGGGGTGGGTGGGATGGGGAACAAGGATTTTTCTGAGCCAACAGAGGAGGGGCTCAGAAGTCCTTAACACATGCTTTTCCCACTTGGCTGTAGTATCCCTATAAGGAACAGTTACTTAGCTGTCTGCTCACCCATTTGGGGGCAGCTAGAAAAGATTCCACTTAGAAAACTCTGGTATCATACACTTATGCACACACTAGGCCCACACTAGAGGAGGAGGCTGCCATTAGGTGGGCACTCAGGGGGCTCCTCAGCAATCTGGATTTGTGCTCCTCAGGAAGACACAAGCAGAGTCCAAGGCAGAGAAGGAGGCCAAGAAGCCAACCATCAAGAAGCCCCTCAATGCCTTCATGCTGTACATGAAGGAGATGAGAGCCAAGGTCATCGCAGAGTGCACACTTAAGGAGAGTGCTGCCATCAACCAGATCCTGGGCCGCAGGGTAAGACCATGGGCAGGTGGGCTGGCAGGGATGCTCCCTGACCCTCTTCAGCCTGGTGCAGCCTGCTGACTCCCTGATGCACCCCACCTGTCCCCCTTCCCTGTTGCAGTGGCATGCGCTGTCGCGAGAAGAGCAGGCCAAGTACTATGAGCTGGCCCGCAAGGAGAGGCAGCTGCACATGCAGCTATACCCAGGCTGGTCAGCGCGGGACAACTATGTGAGTGGCCAGTGACACACAGCAGGGGTGGGCAGGGGACCCTTCCAGATACCATGCCCCAGGCCACAATCTCAGCAAGGAACGCAGAACTACTGTCCTGAAGGCACTGATGAGGAAGGGCATGGAGGGTCTAAGGCCTCCCATGGCTGCCTCAGAAGAGGACAAGCCCACATCCTATTCTCCACTCCAGTATATGCTCACACATGGGCTGTTACCCAACATTTGATTGGGCCACATGGGCAGAAGGGGAGAAAAGGGTCTGGAAGTCACCTCACCTCCCTCCATTCAAATTGGAGACCAGAATGGGGTATGGGAAGAGCTTCTAAATGCACTCCATAGCAGCCTAGCAAGAACAGCAATCGAGAAACACCAGCATCCCCAAGGTAGGAGGGGCCTGTATGCCCAGAATCCCAGAGGTACCAATGCTAGGCAGCAGGCTGTGGGTATCCCAGTGTCTGCCTCCCAGATCTGAGCATCCCTCCTTTTGTTCCCTGCAGGGGAAGAAGAAGAGGCGGTCGAGGGAAAAGCACCAAGAATCCACCACAGGTGAGACCTTCCCTCAGCAGTAGTGGAGGCTCTTCTCCATGTCCCCATTTTAAGAGCAGCCCTCCTCTGACCCAAAGGGAGGAGCATGGTACCCAGCCAGGAGCCTTCAGGGCCTGGGGCCTATGAAAATAAGACCTGCATCTCACAAGTCAAATTCCCATGCAAGAAACAGCTATATTATACTAAGTCCCAGGGAAACTCAGCAGAACTGGCTTCTGCTGGGTAGAATTGGGTAGACGGTGTATTCCTCTGCCTTGCACCCATGACCTTTGCTAGCTCCACTCACCAGAGAAACTAGCAAGGAACTGACTATGGTTTGATGCTTAGCCCAAACAATGTCCTGGCTAGTTCTGCTGAGATTGGGAGAGGCTGAGCTAGGCCCCATGACTAGGCGCAGTAATCACACAGCCTACTGGCTGGAGCCTGGCAATTTATCACCCCTACTTCAACATTTTTCATGGCAGTGCAAAGTGCTCTATGTAGAGAAGCCCACACTCTGCTGCAGGCCTCCTTCCTGTGGGTGAATTCCTGCCCCTCTGGTAACTTAGACTCTACATCCCTGACCTTCTCAGATGTGCTGTCCCCATACAGGGAAGCTGGAGGCTAGGACTGGGATAGAGCAGGGCAGAGTTCCTAGCCCTTTTTCCAAGGTAAAGAATGGGCCCTTCCTTCCATCTGCAAGTGAACAGGCATAAGGTATAGCCTTCAGCCTTATCTCTTGAAGGAATGTGGGTCAAGAATGAAGAAAAACTGGATAAAATGGGTAGGGGGTTGGGGAGGAGGTGGGTGGCCCTAGGGCAGAAGAGGCTGGATCTCCATGGTCTTCCTTGGGCTCCTCTGCAGCCTCCATGCTGCAAGGGCCCCATAAGCCACAGAGATAAGCCAGACTGACAGGACTCCCTCCCTCCCATTCTTCCCACTGCCTCTACTGTGTAGCTGGGTGCCCACTTTTCCTGATATCTTGGCTCTGGGCTCTTGGGCTCCCACTGGGGCTGGCTGTGCCATGGAGAGGCCCACTCTGCCTATGGGGGCTGTAGGGTGTCTATAACTGGCTAACACTGATGTCACTCTTCTTTCTGGGCCCTGCTCTGCCCCGCTGCCTGCTCGCCCTCTGCCCTGCTCTGCCCCTCTGGCATGGCTGTGAGCAGACCCTGGCTCGCCTAAGAAATGCCGTGCTCGCTTTGGCCTCAACCAGCAGACGGATTGGTGTGGTCCGTGCAGGTGGGTTTGTCCCCACCATCGTTCTCCCTTTGCTTTAAGCTGCTTCCCTGACTCTGCACAATTTCCACTGGGCCTGCAGCCCACTCCTTTGGCCCCTCAGCCCACTAGCATACTCAGACTGGGAAGCCCAGGCCTCCTGAGAATAGTAGTAAATACTGAACACAGTGTGTGGAGAAGGCGGCTTGGGTCTAAGTGCAGGAGGAGTGGAAAGAAAGGATGTTCCAGAAAGGAAGGACAGACTCAAGAAGGTAGCTCTGATGCCAGCGGGCCTAGCAGGTCCTCAGCAAACAGACAGCTCAAACACCACTAAGGGGGCCTGGAGCCCATTCTCCCAGGCCTCAAAGTCATGGCCCATCGGCTCCCTCACTTCCTCTTCAAGATGGGATCCCTGCCTGTACCATCCTGAGCCCTTAATCTGAAAAAACAAGGTGACGACACAGAACCATCTGGTTGCCAGGCAACCATGTGACTTGCTATCTTGTACCTACTGAGACCAAAGGGCTGAAGAGGCTGGGGGAGAGAAGCCAGGGTACCCTGGGCTGTCTGAGGGAAAGGGCCCACGTGTTTCACCATACAACAGAGAAATACTTGTGGTTGTGACAAAGTTTACCCAACAAGTGGTTAAAGTTTCCTCAGTTTCAGGCCAGGCCTGGCAGGGCTAATACGGAGGGTACTCCAGGCAGTAAGGCCAGTGGCTCTAAGGAACACTTATCCAGCCCCTCAGTGTATCCACCACACTCCCTGTCTAAGGGTAAGGAGGAGTGGAGTTTGGAGTGTGTCTGTGTACCCACATATATATGCACAGTGGGAAACAACCCTGTCTTCAGAGGAAGTTCTATTCCATTCATTCCATCAGAGACAAACTGGCCCAGAGAACTCAAGGATGGTAATGGACAAGAAGAGTCACTGTCCATGTCTTCTTCTCTAGCCCAACCTGAGGACTGGGATGGCTGGGCAAGGAAGCCATAGGCATTGCGGCCCCTTGCCTTGGTGCAGATCTGAGTCCCACAAACACACCTGGAGAAGCTCAAAGGCTGGGACTGGGAGATGACTCCCTTGGAAGACAGGTGACAGCCCACAGGCCTAGTGACAGAAGGCCCCTGTGCCACCTTGTGGCTGTTCTGGGAACTGCACCTGTCCTAGGTCTGGGCCAGGCCAAGCAGAGTGGTAGTCTGAGGACACTGACTTACCACCCAAGTCACGGGAAGAGAGGACAAGAAATCAGCCAGGCCTGTGCAAAGGCAGCACTTTTTGGTTGTGGTGTATGACTATGAATTCACCCTCTGTTTACAGATAACTCTCTTCACTATTCCTAGGAGGAAAAAGAAATGCATTCGGTACTTACCCGGAGAAGGCCGCTGCCCCAGCCCCGTTCCTTCCGATGACAGTGCTCTAGGCTGCCCTGGGTCCCCAGCTCCCCAGGACTCACCCTCTTACCATCTGCTGCCCCGCTTCCCCACAGAACTGCCTGCTAGCCCTGCGGAGCCGGCACCTACATCCCCAGGTCTCTCCACTGCTCTCAGCCTCCCAACCCCAGGGCCCCCACAGGCCCCCCGCAGCACCCTGCAGAGTACACAGGTACAGCAACAGGAATCTCAGAGACAGGCAGCCTAGCAGGCACAGGACACCTGGCCTCCTCCAGGAGCCTACCCCCTGAGAGAAAGCAACAGAGACCCAGATTGCATGAAAACCAGCCAGGGGTCCTGTTAACTCCGTCTCAGGGTTCAGACCCTGAAGATTCCAGAGGCTGCAAAATTTCCACCTGAACCTGAGGCCATCGATTCAAACTGCTCCAAGTGGTGGGAATCAGATCTGTGTTGTTGTCATCTAATTAAGGGAATCCCTTGTACCTGTGGCTGCCTGCATCTATTCTTTGTACCATCTGTCTTGCCAGCCAGAAGCCTCTGCCTCTCTAGCTTTTCTGCTCTAGGTTAGAGATGGGCTGAACTGAGCCTAGCTACCTTCTCTATCCATCTCCCCCATCCCCCACTGCCACACCCTCCCCATTCATGGACCAAGAATGACCTGGTTTGTCAAACAGCCACAAAGCTCAAGATGACAACTCTTTTAAGAAAATGGAGAAGCTCTGTTTATAAAACAAAACCAGCTGCTACTCATAAGTTGGACCAGAGGAAGCCTCTTACCATGTTCTCAGGAGCTTGCGAGAAGCAGGGAGGGGAATGGAATAGGTTGTTTAGGCCTATCAACCTAAGCAACAGAAATAACCTGACACTACCTTATCAGGCAAGTTGGGGAGCAGGGGTGTATCTAGCTCTATTTCAAATTATTTGGAAGTGTTTCCTGAGAAACTCACCGGCCTAAGAAGCTCTGATACCAAGGCCCCAGGCTTGTCACTAGCAGCGCAGTCAACAGTTCAAAGAAGTCATGGCCCAAATCCAGTGTGCACCTCTCCCCACTCACAGAGCCTTTTTCATAGTTCCATTTCCAGTTTATCTATGGCAGTCCAGCCAGCTCCTGGGCAGCTGTGAGATGGCAAACCCAAAACCTCACGACAGCCAGAGCCTGTTTTCCAGCATTCAGTCCAGACCAGCTCCAGTTTCCCCATGGGGCTGCGGGACAGAGGACCATTACAACTAGATCAAGGAGCCCAGAAAACCTCCAGTAGTCCAAACAGGTTTTCACCATAGCCTACTTTAACCCATTTTTGAGCCAAGCTTCAACCCTGAGCCTTGAAAAACAAGTCTTTTTTTAATTTAATTTTTGTTTTTTGCCTCCTTCTCATCGTACGTAGCCTGAATCCAAAGAAAAAGGGCTGCCTGGCCGGGTGCGGTGGCTCACGCCTGTAATCCCAGCACTTTGGCAGGCCGAGACAGGTGGATCACCTGAGGTCAGTGGTTTGAGACTAGCCTGGCCAACATGGTGAAACCCTGTACCTACTAAAAATACAAAAATTAGCCGGATGTGGTGGTGTGCATGTGTAATCCCAGCTACTCAAGAGGCTGAGGTGGGAGAATTGCTTCAATCTGGGAGGTGGAGGTTACAGTGAGCCAAGATGGCGCTACTGCACTCCAGCCTGGGTAACAGGGAGAGTGCATCTCAAAAAACAAAAAAAAGAGGGCTGTCCATGTACTCACACACCCCTCAAAAAAAGCCTTTAGTTCCTACTTTAGCCACTGGTTTCTCAGAATCCAAAGATCACATATTCTAGTGTAACACTGCAAGAAGTCTTGAGAAAAAGATTATTGTAGTGTTCAAAATATTTTTGCATTGTTAATACATCATCATAGAAAAATTTTTTTAAACATGAGAATAAAGATACTTTTTACTGGATTTGTTTTTCAAAGCCTGAACCTGAGGAATAAGTTGTTTCAGTAACAGAGCATGATATTATTTCCTTTTCTTCTCCACAGTTAGGAAACTTGGAGTTTGTTCCCTATGGTGCATATGTTCCCAAACCTCCAGCCTGCAGAAACCAGGGATTACACTTGTCATCTCCCCTAAAGGGGTGTGGGCCCTGCCTGCCTCACCCCTGAGAGCTAGGCCTATACTCCTAGGCTTTGCTCTCTTAGCCCCCAATCCCCCCAGTGATGCAGACCCCACAATGATGCAGGCCAGCCTGCTCCCCAGTGCTCATATAAAATAGATGAGTTGGTAACTGCTGTCCATAAAGGCTGAAAAGAGAATCCAACCTGAAATGACCCAGCTGGGCTCCATTTGATCACACATGACCACTAGGCTCCATTTTCCTCTGAGGGCAGAGAGAAAAGAAAACATTCCACAAGTGCATATCCTATTTCAAGGAAAACAAGAGCAAACAAGAGTCTTTTATAACCTATTAGCACCACAAAATCCTAAAGAAGGATTTTTTAATAGCACCCTCTAAGACACAAAGTATTTTTCATATTTTCACACAAGCCTTTCAGTTTGATAAATCTATAACCCACTTTTTTAAAAGTCATACACACTGTTGGTGGACACGAGAGCCACCATATCCACTTTATTTTTACATTATTTGTATACATTTAGGGGGTACAAGTGCACCTGTGTTACATGGATATATTGTGTAGCGGTGAGGTCTGGGCTTTTAGTGTGCCCCCCCACCCAGAGAGTGTACTGTGCACGTAAGTAGTGTACGTTGTACTCAACAGGATTTCATACCTCATCCCCTTTCATCTCCCACCTTTTGAAGTCGCCAGTGTCTATTATTCCATTCCGTATCCATATACCATGTGTACTCACTGTGTAGCTCCCTACAACTCACTTTTTACATGACAGTTTCCACCAAGCACACTACTGTCTTCCAGAGACCCGTCATGAATGTAAAAGGTGTCATGAAGGCACCTCAATGAGTCAGTCAACAAGTAGATGATGAATGTCAGGCAAGAGGTATTTCACATGGGACAGCCAGTGGGCCACCATCATGCATTGTCATTGTCATTCCACTGAGTTCTATTTTTTGGATTTTGTATTTAAAGATACTTATAAAGAAAATCATCTTTCAGAGCAGTGTCTATTTAAAGTAGGCCACTGGAAGTTGTAACCGCAGACTTGCTGCTTTTGCTTCTTTCTGAGAGAGTGCTAGAGGACACTAGCCATTCTCTGGACATCTGTCCCATTTTAAATAATTCTGTTCTGGCTACTGGCCTAGTTGTTTTTTAAAAAAAAAAAAAAAAAAACCTACATTCTAACCAGGGCTTATGCAAATGCAAGACCAGGTTGCTGCATCTGATTTTGTGTCTCACTTAGAGTACACAGGGTACATGAACAATGCAGTCTTTGTGTATTGGCGGGGAAGCCTTTGGCAACTCTGTTTAAATCAGATCAGCTTTTTTTTTTTCTTTTCAGTCTGACTTCATAAACTCAGATCCTCCCAAATCACCCTGGTGCATTCCTATGAGGCCAGAGGGTGATTTGAGATTGCAACCTCAAGTTCAACTTCTAATACCACACCAGGCCCCCTTCACTGCCAGCTGAGAACCAACCCTGTTTCCTGAGACACTGTAAGACAAGACACCTTAGCCTCCCTTCAACATTTCCAGACAACTAGCAGACCTGCAACTTGGGTGAAAGATGTTCGTCCCTCCTTTGGTACAGCTGCTCCCCATTTTGTGCTCAGTGGATATGGTGAGGGTTCAGCCCAGCAAGCAGACAAAAAGCTTATGTCTCCCAACCTGAAGGTGTCTACTTTAACAGAACCCCATGGCTGGACTCTCTTCTGACATGTAATTATCTTTTGAATGGCTCCTGTGGTCTCCCGTTCCTTCTGGCTGTGGACCCCCAACAGCTGGCTCAGAAGCACTGCTCCCTAGCTTTGTTCAGTGTACAGTAAGCCTGGCCAGGAAGGCCACAAGTAAAGGGAAGCGCAATAGTTCTTTATATCCCGTTCCAGAGAGGAAGAAAGGGAATCAGTTTCTGCATCTGCTTCTCAGAAAACATCACAAAAGGGGCAAGGGTAACAAGGCCATATTAAACAACTACTTAGGACTGTATGTCAAAGTAGAAGAATTTAAGACCCAAATCTAGTTAATTGTATAAAAAGGCTAAGTTGGCTTTTCTTCGATGTTAGAAGGGCTGCTTTAAGTGTGACTCTCAGATCTCTTCAGAGCTTTTTTTAAGCTCTTCAGGGCTTTAAGAGTTCACCAAGGGTTTTTGAAACAGCTGCCCACCCAAGCAGACCCTGGTTGTGTCAACTCCCCCAATCCCAACTTACTGTGATAACCTTGTTCCAAATCTCTAATCACCCTGTGGGCATCTTTCAAATTCAGTCTCCTGAGCTCTTCTCTAATGGTTTGGAGCTACTAACAAACCATTATTGGCAGTGAGCATCTGAATATACTCAAACAACAGGGAGTTTGAAAACAGGGAACACAGATGGTGGGGATGTTCTCATACAGTCCCCTAGAATAAAAGCCCAGCTCAGGCCAGGAAGGATTTTCAAGCTCTTAAAGATAGCATGGGATTAGGCATGTTAATTGGAAAGGGAAAACTTACGTCCTGGGGGTGGAACTATCCTATCACAAGCAGTCCTCACAAGGTAGGTCACTATTGGTAAGGGATGTTTCACTTGTGAAGACAAGATAGCAGCTGTGAATTATGTGGGAGATAGCCCAGGCCGACACTTCTTTCATATTCACCAGGGGCTTTGGACCAAGTCTTCCTTTTTCATTCAAGTGTTCTCATTCTTTTATCTGAAGCCTTGTTCTTTCGGGCATGTGCAATGTCAGGAAGCAGGGTGGGGGGCTTGGGGAGGGAAGAGAAAAAGCCAGGTTCCACTCACCAAAAAAGAAAAAAGCCACTCTGGAAACCCTGCTTAAGTACTTCAGGATACAGAGTACAGCTTCTCTATTTTCCCACCCCTTTCCGTAAGCTTCCTGGAACAGAAAAGTCTGCAAACCAATTGAAGAAGGCAAAGAATTAGAGGTTGTGAAATGGTATACTCAGGAAAGGACAAATACGAATTTTCACCAAATAGGTGGGAGGTATTCAAAGTGAGAGCACTTTAATGAAATAAGCTGATCCTCAGTGTGCAATAAGAGGCTGCTATACAGCAGGTTGAAAATTTAAAGTTAAGACATATCAGAAGGTCTGAATATACTTAAATACTTCCAGAAAATTTAAAGTTGAGAGATATCAGAGGTCACAAGAACTAGATGTGGAAGCACACACTGTTGTGAGCAACTACATTCCTCCCATAGAATGCTGCTCAATACTGGCACACAGACCAGAGGTAGCCAGCAGTACACAAGACTGCAAGGCAACAAGTACATTATCAGTGAATTAGCCATCTATCACTTAAACCATGTTCCGCATTGGAAGTGTGTCAAGCAAGAGCACCTTTGACAATACTTTTCTGCCACCACCAATGATCATCTCCACTGACACATACTTCATCTTGATATGCACAGCCAGTTCTCTTACTCATTCTCTTTGACCATTGGAGGTAGTGATTTTTAACAACAGTAAACAAGAAAAAGTCATCAGGACTCTAACTGTAAAACCCCCAACATTCAAAAGACTAGTTTAGTTCAAGAGCAAAAAAAAAAAAAAAAAATTAGAATTTAGCTCACACACTCAAAATTGCCCTGCCTAATGTGGGTCTGATGAATAAATGCTGATAAAATACTACCGAGTGTCAGCAAAGTACTATCACTAATCCTGCCCTAATTTCTCTTTACAGTCTATATTCTCAGGGAAATATACCAACACTCAAGCTTCTGCTGTTAGTTCCTAACTGAGCACTGCTTTTTCCTCACTTTGGCATCTCTCCACCCCCAAACAAATCCAACTTGATTCTTAAAACCAAGTTAGTTTCACTTTACAGAACCTTTCCTAGCAACTTTCAGCTCTGTAGCCCCTCATTGGCTCATTAATCTTGTTCTGTCCAGAAACACTTTTTTTTTTGAGACGGAGTCTCGCTCTATCGCCAGGCTGGAGTGAAGTCAGTGGCGCGATCTCGGCTCACTGCAACCTCCGCCTCCCAGGTTCAAGCGGTTCTCCTGCCTCAGCCTCCCGAGTAGCTCGAACTACAGGTGTGTGCCACCATGCCCAGCTAATTTTTGTATTTTTAGTAGAGATGGGGTTTCACCATGTTGGCCAGGCTGGTCTCAATCTCTTGACCTCGTGATCCGCCCACCTCATCCTCTGAAAATGTTGGGATTACAAGCGTGAGCCACCGAGCCTGGCCCAGGAACATTTTTATTAGAGTTATCCACTCCCTCCCAGCAGTATTTATGCCTTGTCACCTGAACTACACCAAAAGCTCCCAGCTCCCAAGAGGGAAACCATGTCTAATGCTTCCTATCAAGGAGAAGCCAGGAGCTACACTTTAAGGATTCAGCCATTTTGTAAGCTTTCCCTTTGCTTGCAGTCTTCTTATTCTTGACTTCTTCCTAGCTTAAAAAGTTATACACTGGTTTCAAATCCAGATAATTAAAGATTAACTTTTCAAATCCTCAAACAACTTTGTAGGGAGAACATTTACTTGGTTGAGTCTTTCCTACCAGAATGTACACTGAGCTTTAGAAAAGGAAAAATTGGTGGGTGCTGTGGCTCACATCTATAATCCCAGCACTTTGGGAGGCTGAGGCAGGAGGATCTCGAGCCCAGGAATTAGAAAACAGCCTGGGCAACATGGGGAGACCTCATCTCTATAAAAACAGTTTAAGCCGGGCGCGGTGGCTCACGCCTGTAATCCCAGCACTTTGGGAGGCCGAGGCGGGCGGATTACGAGGTCAGGAGATCGAGACCATCCATGCTAACACGGTGAAACTCCGTCTCTACTAAAAATATAAAAAATTAGCCGGGCGCGGTGGCGGGCGCCTGTAGTCCCAGCTGCTCCGGAGGCTGAGGCAGGAGAATGGCGTGAACCCAGGAGGCGGAGCTTGCAGTGAGCCGGGATCGCGCCACCGCACTCCAGCCTGGGCGACAGAGCAAGACTCCGTCTCAAAAAAAAAAAAAACCCGTTTAAAAATACCAAAACTAGCAAGGCATGGTAGTGCACACATGTAGTCCTAGCTATTCAGGAGGCTGAGGCAGGAGGACTGTTGCAGCCCAAGAGTTCGAGGCTGCAGTGAGCTGTGATCACACCACTGCACTCCAGCCTGGGCGGCAGAGGTGAGACCTTGTGTCTTAGAAGAATCAAAAAGCTCTTCAGGCTACTCTGGGCACACTGCCTATGGGGTAGTCCTGCTCTGCAAGAAGCAGTTAAAAAAAATCTTCAAAAGGTAATGGTGGCAAGCAAAAGTTAAGCTTGTAAAGGGTGCTTAGAGAAAGAGGTCTGCTGCTCTCTCAATTATCTCTTTTCTGGTGGAAACCACTTCATATTCCCAAACTGCCTTATTAACAGCCTAGGCAAATTAATTTAAACAAAATTTATGTTGGGATCAGAACACAGCCCATAGGATTGGCCAATTTTTAAGTAAACTGAAAGATCATGTGATCTGGAATATCTGCCTGCCCTAAGTCAGATGCCCATAGTGACTCACTGTTACTGTCCTCCCTCCCCAGCTAGTTTTAAGCTCAGCATTACTATGATGTCATGTTACAGAGCTGCAGTTACCTGTCCAACCAAGTCACAATACAGCTCTTGCTTAATTCCAGCAGCTGGTGTATTCTGACAGCTGTAGAGTGAAAAGTCACAGCTATAATCCCACATAGGGAGCTACAGGATGATTTTGTGAATCTTTGAGAAAACATAAGAACTGTAAAGCAGTATCTATTTTGTATATCAAGAATAGATTAAGGCAAGCTAACACATGGCACTTCAAAAGAGGAACTTGCTTCTGCAACTTAAGAATTATTAGGGCTGTGTGCGGTGATTCACGCCTGTAATCCCAGCACTTTGGGAGGCTAAGGCGGGCAGATCACAAGGTCAGGAGTTTGAGACCAGCCTGGCCAATATGGTAAAACTCCATCTCTAATAAAAATACAAAAAAATTAGCCAGGCACGTTGGCATGTGCTTGTAATCCCAGCTACTCGGGAGTCTGAGGCAGGAGAATCACTTGAACCTGGGAGGCGGAGGTTGCAGTGAGCTGAGATTGCACCACTGCAGTCCAGCCTAGGCGACAGAGTGAGACTGTCTCAAAAAAAAAAAAAAAAAAATTATTGAGGGGGCACATCTTTATGATAATGTTAAGGAGAAAGTAATAAGCTAACATTCAGGAAGGTTTTGGTTTACTTTTAGATCACAAGTGACATAATCAATGAAAAGGTGAGAAGCCAAAGGACTGTGATGGAGTCCTTGAAAGGACTTCATCATTAAAAGCAGCACACTGCAGAAAGCAGCACACATTTTGTTTACAGAGGAAACTGAAAAATACTCTTCAATCACCCATATCTGCCAAATACCTTCTTCCTCTCATTCTCTTTCCTGGTGAAATAAAGGGCATTTCCTAATTAATCCCTAAGGTTACTTTATCAAGAAGGGTTTTCTTTCCTTTACTACTATAACAGTAATTAGAGAAAGTCTTCATAATTCATCAGTAACCACTCTCCAAACCAAGGCTATTACCAGCTATTACGAAGCTCTCCCCTCTCATGCATTAAAACTGCTCTTCTTGTTTTCATTATACCCTGTACCTGCATTTCACAAGGACCTTTCGCTTATGTTACCTATATTGAAATTCATGGAGTAGTGCTACTAAATACAAGTTAAATCCTGCTGTCAAGTGACTTCCAATTAAGTCTTGCAACTAATATAAAACAGACTGCACTAGATCTATAAAACCATAGTACCTACTATTTCCAACTTGCCCAAGGCCATGCAGACACTAAAATGCCAGCCTCAAGGTATGACTTAATGCCACAGTATTAGTTTAGAAGAATGGTTGAGAAGAGAGTAGCCAGAAGTGAGTGGAGTTTTGAAGATTGAGGTTTGGCTGCTGTGATAATGAGAAAGGACCACTCACTCCAGGTGAGAGCCTAGAAAAGTTCTAGTAGATATATTAAAGGAATAGTGGGCATACAGCAGGGAACAGGAAAAAGGTACGAAAAGAATACTGCAACCAGACTGAAAAGGGCTTCTTAATACCATGTCTATGATTTATTTGGGTCCATAATGGTCACAAATGGACTATTTTCTCTTGGATCTCTATTAATGTAAAAATTTAAGATTACCAGGATTTTCTGTTGTTTGTTTAGGGACTACAGAAAGTCAAGAAGGAAACAAAAATTTAAATTACTACTATATTGTCTGTCCATCCAATCTTTCTGAAAGATCCCAGTATCCTTTAAATATGGATAGTGACATTATTTACTTATATAATTCTAACAACTCCTGAGTATTATACAGATCAAGTGGTAATAATAACAAGCTCCAGCTTCTTAGAAGGTGATACTTCCTTTACAAGTTAAACATGGCATATAGCAGTAATCCTGGACCTTCAGTGAAGATTTGTTATAATACTGCTAAGGATACTTTTGGTTTGTTTTTGAGACAAGGTCTTACTCTACCGCCTAGGCTGGAGTGCAGTGGTGCAATGCCAGCTCACTGTAGCCTCGACCTCTCAGGCTCAAGCAATCTTCCCACCTCAGCCTCCCAAGTAGTTGGGATCACAGGCATGCACCAAATGACTGCTTATTTATTTATTTATTTATTTTGGAGAGACAGGGACTTCCTGTGTTGCCCAGGCTGGTCTCGAACTCCTGGGCTCAAATGATCCTCCTGCCTTGTCCTCCCAAAATGTTGAGATTACAGGCATAAGCCACCATGCCCAACTGCTAAGGATACTTGAGGTGGATAAGGTTTTTGCAGAAGTTGATCTTATAGCAGGAATTGGTAGATGAGACAATTCAGCTAGGACTGTACACTACTACCTTTCCCACTAAAACCAGGACAAAGAGAAAACAAGCTTATCTCCTAAGAGTAATGGGAACCAGGAATCCAAAAGTAGTCACAGGGGTTGGCAAATATTTTCTGTAAAATGCCAGATAGTAAAATATGTTACTTTTTGGTCAAATACAGTTTCTCGGTGGCAGGCGCCTGTAGTCCCAGCTACTCGGGAGGCTGCAGGCAGGAGAAGGCAGACTGGGAGGCGAGCTTGCAGTGAACTGATAGATCGCGCCACTGCACTTACCCAGCCTGGGCGACAGAGGGAGACTCCGTCTCCCAAAAATAAAAAAAAATTAAAGTACTAGCTCCAGTTAGGCATATAAAGACAATTAGAAGGGACAGAAGTTATGGTTTTATGTCAGCAGCCTCCCAGTGAGCTAGGATAATGAACTCTTTTCAAAGCTAAACAAAATTTATAATACACATTCAACCCATTTAGTGAAGAGACACATTTAAGCTCCACAAAGCAAACTTAACTACCTACTATAATAACTTACTTTTAATTGAAAGTATCTGCATTCATGATGGATGCTTTCTGGTTTTACCACATATTTTAAATGATAAAAGTTAAATATTGTTTTACATGCAAGTAGGTGAATAATTTTCCGCCACATGGGAAACACTGATTATAAAAAGATGGACATCCCACATGGTTAAGTGTCTTTTTTAATTGAAAAGCTAAACCAAACTGTCCAGTTACATTTTCTCCCAAAACATCCCACAAACTAAGTAGTAACTGAGTCTCTAGGCAATATATTTAAAACTAAGAGGATTAAAAATAAAATTAAAGAAAAAGAAAACAAGTCCTCTCAAGATGCAATGAAGGGAGCCCTGCTACATACAGGCTAATCAATAAACGTGGTACTCCTTGACTGCAGAGGCTGGAAGACATCCTAAGTACTTCCACTCAGGAACATTTACCTCAAGAAGCCTTTTCCAAGTTTCCAACTCATGAATAAAAGAATG